ATTAAATAACTTCAAAATCTCTATTTTAAGTACAAAAAATATGTTAATTAATCTTTTTTGCCAACTAAATCTAATTAACATATTATAATTTGAGAAATATTATTTGTTAGTTAAAATATGGTACAAATTAAAAATTTAAATAAATAAAGTTGGGGGTATTTTTTAAACTAGGACAAGTTCGGGGTGGGGAGCTCACACTAAGGCAAAGTTCGGGGTATATTATTTATTTTCCCCTTATTTTTTTGGTGAATTTTATACATATTTTTTCTTTAGGATTGGAGACAATGAAATGAGGCATGGGGCATATCCGGAGGATGTAGAAATATTTTTGAATAAATTAGACATTTTGAAGTTATTTAATCAATTCTAAAAGCACACATTAAGTTGGGAATGACACATCTTTCTTTGCCAACTAAATCTAATTAACATATTATAATTTGTGAAATATTATTTGTTAATTAAAATATGGTACAAAAAATTTAAATAAACAAAGTTGGGGGTATTTTTTAAACTAGGACAAGTTTGGGGTGGGGAGCTCACACCAAGGCAAAGTTCGGGGTATATTATTTATTTTCCCCAAAATTTTATTTATAGTTTTGAAAGTTATCAGATTAATAGACAAAACAAAAACAGAGAATCATCAGGAGGAGGAGGAGGAGGACTACCTTGGGCTTATGAGTTACTATCTTAGCAATGAAGTGAAACAAATAAATGATGTAATATTCATCACTCAAGAAGGCTACGCGCCTACGCCAGTGAAGTACTTAAGAAGTTCAACATGGAGAACTCCAACCGTGTATATACACTTGATGAAAATGGACTGAAGCTATCAAGGTATGATAAAGGAAAGTTGATTGATCCAATTTAATTTAAGAGCCCTGTTGGGAGCTTAAGATACTTAACATGTACAAGACCAGATATTCTCTTTGGTGTTGGACTTGTTAGTCGATTCATGGAGGCCCCTACAACAACTCATTTAAAGGCCGCAAAAAGGTTTTTACGATATCTCAAAGGGGCCATTGAATATGGATCGTTTTACTCTTCATCTAATGAGTTTAAGCTGATTGGATATTGCGATAGTTATTGGGGTGGAGATATTGATGACCGCAAGAGCACAACTGGGTTTGTGTTCTGCATGGGAAACACCGCTTTCACATGGGTTTCAAAGAAGCAATTGACCATCACTCTATCCACTTGTGAAGCCGAGTACGTTGCAGCAACATCAAGTGTGTGTCATGCAATTTGGTTCCGCTACATATTGCAAGCTCTCAACATGTTTCAAGAAGAAGCAACAACAATATTCGTGGACAACAAGTCAGCTATTGCATTAACAAAAAATCCAGTGTTTTATGATCGAAGCAAGCACATAAACACTTGATATCATTTCATCCAAGGAAAGATAGTGATGAAGGGAGTTCAAGTAGATTATGTGAAGCCTCAAGATCAAGCCGTTGAGATATTCTCACAAAGCCGCTCAAGCATGACGTTTTTACAAAGATGGGGAGTCTACTTGGTGTTGCTAAGTCGAGTTTAAGAGGGGATGTTAGAAATTAAACTTGTCTTTGCCCACAATAATTGGGTCCATTAGAAGTTAATTTATTGGTCTAATAGTTGTATGAGAAATAATAAATTAGTAAGCCCATAAGTTAGAGTTAGTAAAGAAAGATCTAGAATAATTCTAGAATATTCCTAAGTTAGAAGGATCCTATGAGACCTATAAATAGAGCACTCCTCACTCATTTGTAACATAACTCAAAAGCTCCAAATCCATAAAAGTTTCAAGTTCTCCCAAAATCACATCTCTCAAATTCTCTCTTCCACACACAGTTACCCAATTCTAATACTCATAAACTCCTTTCTTCCAACGATTTTTCTCATTAACTAACTAAAAACTCATATAGTATTTACGCCATTTTTTAATTATAAAGGAATCCTCACTAATTATAACACCATATGCTGCAGCAACGATTTTTTCATTAAGCATGTGTCTGCCTGAAATTTTATTATTGTAATTGCTGTAGATAAGATTAAAAATTACCTAAAATGCACAAATAGAACTACTACATTTTAACCATCCCAAATAGGACTAAACAATTGATTCCTACCAGAAGTGCCCCTAAGGGTATTGCTTCATAATGAAATGTTACAATTCATAATAAAATCTTAAAAAAAGAAAAAAATCGTAAAAAATATTAATAAAATTTTAAAAAAAAATAATAAAATATTTTTTAAATGAGAAAATTGAATTTTTTTAAATAATAAAAAATAGTAAAAACTCATTAAAATGGATACCTTTCCCACCGCCTCCCAGCACCACAACCTTTGATTTGTAATAATTCTGTCATTTTTTATAAAAAATTCCATTTTTTCTTGAAAATGCCAAGAAAATGGCATTATTACTCTTCATAATGCCAAAATTCTCATTAAATCTGCCATTATTATGGCATTACTAAAAATGTTGGCAGATTTTTTTTTACTTTATTTTTTTTAAACAAATAAATAAAAAATAGTAAAACCCCATAAAAATATGGATACCTCTGAACGATAAAAATTCTGCCATTTTTTGTAAAAACAAATGCCGTTGTTTTCTGAAAATGCCAAAAAATGGCATTATTACTCATCATAATGCCAAAATTCTTATTGAATCTGCCATTACTGTGGCATTACTAAAAATGTTGGCAGATCTCCAACCAGTGATGGGAGCTGGTGGTGCTGGGGTGCCAGAGGCGGCGGCGTTTTTTTCATTTTTATTTTTTTTAAATTTTTTTAAATTTTTTAAAAAAAATTAATTTATAAATATTTCATAATTTTTTTGATATTGTTGACGTTTTTATTATTTTTTTTACGTTTTCTATTATCTTTTTATGATTTTATTATGTAGTACTCCTTCCGTCCCGCTAAGATTGTCCCATTTTACCTTTTCGGGAAATCCCACTAAGATTGTCTCATACCAAATTTGGTAAAGTTTGTGTGGCTCTAAATCATTTTAACTTTATTCTTACTTTATCAATTTAATATCACCACACAAATCCACTTTTCTTAATAATTGTGTTGTCTTCTCTTGTCCCAACCTTAGTGAGACAGAGGTTGTATTAATTAAGATATTTCAAAAGCTACAAGGGTATATATGTTCAAACACACATAAATAGTCCTACTAGGGGGAATAAAAAAAATGTAGTCCTATTTGTGCTCTTGGGCCACTTTTTTGACCTGTTTAGGTAATTAACTCTTTTTATTACTCCGTATTATTGTTGTTCCAAAAAAGGTGGAATCTCCCACATACCCCCAGGAGCCCTCACACCCCGACCCGACAGGATGGTGAAGGAGTATGTCACGGTGACTCAGTTGGCCCAATGGTGGTAGGTCTTATACTCGTGCGCATCAGAGGTCCAGCTCAACACGCGGGAGCTGTAACCTCCACACGGCTACTACGTGTTTCGAACTTTGGTCATTGTTCCAAATTTCTCATCACTCAACCAACTGAGCTATCTATGGGGTACTCTTTTTATTATTATTAAAACCAATATAATGACATTATTTAGAATGTGATACGGAGTAGTAGCTAGCTAGAGTTGAGACAAATCACACAATGCTCTATCTAAGCTTTATAAGAACAGAGAACTGTTATATCTATAAATGTACTTGATTGGTAACAAGTTGATGAGGTGAGCAACAATGAAACGGTCATACCTAAGCAGCGCCACAGTGTAGGCCTGTCAATGGGTCGGGTCTAGACCCGGACCCGACCCGGACCCGGTTGTTTTTAACGGGTATGAGTCCTTATTTTATTCCGTTTACCCGGACCCGAACCCGGGCCCGTTAGTACTTTTAATAAACGGGTCGGGTATGGTACTTATGATTCCGACCCGTTAAGGACCCGGACCCGTTTAAAATTTCTTATTATTATTTATACACACACTAATACATAAAGAGATTAGTTATAATACTTCAAATAAAATACAAACTAATATATATAAAGTGATTAGTTTTAATTCTTTGATTAAAAAGAAACAAATTAATACATACCTAATGTATAAGTGATAATATACTAGTACGTAGTATTTAATATGCTTTTAGTCCAAAAGAACTTTTGTGACCTAATTTCTAGTCTAATATACGAGCTTTCAGTGGGAGAGAAAGAGACACAAAGTGCGGAATTGTACGCATCTACAAGAACCGATATTTTATTGAATAAAAGTACTATTTTTCTATGATAAACCTTGATTTTTTTTGAAAAGTGAAGATATATTTTTCTTTTAAATTTGTGCACTTTGATTTACATTTCATATACATGTTTTACTATTTTTAAAAAATTATATAATGTTCTGTCAAAAAAAAGTTATATAATGTTGTGCATATGATACTTGGCGGGTCTACCCGACCCGGTTCCGAGACCCGTTGGGTCCGGGTCCGGGTCCAAATTTTTAGACCCGCCGGGTAAACGGGTCGGGTCCGGGTCCTTTATTTACTTAGCGGGTCCGGGTCTGAAACACTACGTTCCGACCCGGACCCGACCCATTGACAGGTCTAAGCGCCAGCATAGTTATAAATACCACTACAACAAGGTAAGGTAAGCACACCACCCAAATTAAGAGGCCGTTTGGCAGACCTGTTTTTCGGCTTATCAGGCTTATCAGCCAACTTTTTCACCAAACACGTAACTTTTACTTTCGCGCGCTGAGTTGTGTAATAAGCAGAAAAAGTAAGGTTGGAGTTACTTTTCTGGCTGTTTTGGCTGAAGTTATTGTAGATGATCATTTTAGCTATTTTTACATATAATTTTTTCTTTATTTTATTAATAAAATATATTTTAAAAATAATTGTTTCTTAAATCAGCAGAATCAGCCAATGCAGCCACTTCAGCCAGAACTTCAGAAATTTCAGCAGAATCAACCAAAACAGCCGATTTTCGTGCTACCAAACGGGCTCTAACACTCTTTCTTACGGAGTATCTTTTCTTTATAAAATTTCTTCGAAACATACGTGCAGCTAGAATGGGGTCCACCTAGGTTGTCCGTCCGGATGTGTAAGCCGGAGTTGGTGACGCCCAAAACGCCAACCCCACGAGAGAAGAAGCCGCTCTCTGACATCGATGACCAAGCCAGCCTCCGCTACCAAATGCCCGGCCTGTGGTTTTACCAGCCCAAGACGGCCGCGGCATCTAAACTCGGGAACGGCAACAACGACGATGATGATCCGGCTAGCCTCATTAAGGATGGTTTGGCGAAGGCCTTGGTGTATTTCTACCCGCTGGCCGGCAGGCTCTTCGAAGGCCCCAACAAGAAGCTCATCGTTGAATGCAATGGCGAGGGAGTGCTTTTCGTGAGGGCGGAGGCCAACCTTCCCCTCCGCAAGCTGGACCGTTTTGTGCAGTCGCCGTCCCCCTATCTCCGCAAGCTTCTGCACCACGTCCCTGGCTCCGATGGTATCACCGGCGCCCCTCTTCTCCTTATTCAGGTACTCGGTCCTACCGTCACTCGGCCCTTCATTTTTTATAATCAGCTCGGTTATCGAATAATATTGACTCTCATTTTTTCGAATTAATGTTAATTAATTAATTAATTAATTACGAAAATAATGCTGGAAAAAAAGTATTTACCAATATACTGCTGGGCCTTAACCACGGTCAGGGGTAAGTCGCCCAACCGTTGGGCGACTTACCCCTGAAATATGGTTGAAGGCGAGGAGCTACTGCCAGCCACGCACGATCGTGCGTGCCCTGGGACGCACGATCGTGCCTAGGTCCGAAAACAGCATTTCAGGAGATTTTTCGCCCCAGTTCAACCCGGACTCATCTGTTTGCTATAAATAAGGTCTCTCTTCTCCTGTTTAAGTGTTACGAGCCAGATACAACACATTATAAAACATACAACACACATCTTCTCAATCACATACATAACACCTCCTCTCATCAACATAAAAAACACCTTGAAAATACCCTTTACAAATCAAATACAAAACCCTCCATTCATAACCGGAATAACACAGTACAATCATCCAATATCCATAACAAGTAATCATCTAATTTTCATACTCAAACACATCAAGACAACATACAAGACTTTACAAGAGAAAATACGTCAAATGTTGTAAATTGTTCCCACAACATCTACTGCATAAGAAAAACTACAATACAAAAGACAGACTACAAGTTCCCATCGTCAGCTTCGTCATGGAGATGTTGCTGCTCATGTCTACGCCTACGCCGTTGTCGTGGTTGAAGATCCACTCTCTCATGTTGCGTCTGGGATGATGAAGCCGCCGCTGCACTAGACGTGGATGTCATCTCCTGAGATGGGGGCATGTGTATAAGATGGCCGTAGTCGACTCGCCCCAACACATCTGAACACAAGGACGCAATGCCTGTCAGAGCCTGTCCATACAAGTCCACATCAGGACTATCAGTCACTGTGGTAGTAGCCCGCTGATGTATGCGCTGCAAAGCTCGTGTCTGAAATATGAAACACAATTACATTTACATTGAAATACATACAAATATTACATAAATAAAATGACTTACTTTAGTAATTACTAATATACTCACCGTAAGATGCAAAGCCAAGAATCTAGGCTGATAATGATGAGTAGGGAGTCTGAACGAAGGAGACACAAACAAACGAGTGATGCTGTAATACCATCCCATGTAGTCTCCTGAAACAGATGGCACATATGTCGGTGTCCCAGCCACAACTAGCTCAGCTCTCCTTTCCCACATAGTCTCATATCGGACATGTCTGATTGTCCAATCCTCTGTATGCTTCCCACGCCTATCCAGCCTATGCAGCTCAACATAAGTGTCGACAGGCCGTGGAACGACCTGCTCAAACCCAAACTGTCGCAAGACTCTATCAGGCAAATGAAGCTCAACAATGTCAAAACATATCAACGGCACACGTGCTCGCCATATGTGAGTATGCTCTCGTCCACCTGGGGGCAACTCTGCTAACATCTCAGGTGTAAACGGCATCCATGTAATATGTTTCATAAAGATACAAAATTAGGAGATTTTCTTTACATATTATAGTTAATGTTATACTACCCACACCATACCTGGTCCTCAGACATCCGATCAAATGCATCCCTGTACACACCGAGCCCAGTAGCGGATGACATGCGAGATAGACCAGCATATAGCCATCTAAACATTCATGTAACAGTATCATTAATATGGATATTATTAATGTATTTACACATAACATACACTCACATAAATACAAACGATCGAAAACATACCGACGGCCTAGAGGGTCCTCGCCCCGTACATGATGAGGTCCTAGAAGACGTGGAGGCTCATCAGGCAGTGGCTGTCCATCAATGCCATGATATCCGACTATAATGGGACGGCCAATGTGGACATACTCCCATGACCAAATCTGGAGGAGTAGCAAAAATCCCCCAAGCTCTGTGCTCCCTCTCTGGCAGCCGTGACAAAGCTGTCTATACAGGTAAGCCAGGGTGGCACTACCCCAGCTGAACTGTGCTGCTACATCAAACCTCTCTAGCAAAGGCAAGTGCAGCACCTAAACCTCATTTCCGCTCTTGTCAGCGAAAATGAAGGCTCCCATCATCATCAATATATGGCTCCCATCACAACCCATGGCCACGAGCAATGTAACCTTGTACTTTCCATACAGGTGTGTCCCATCAATAGTAAGTACGGGTCGACAATGCTTAAAACCATGTATTGATGCCTTGAATGCCCAAAAAACTCTTTGAAACTGCATATACCCTGTGGGAGTATTGGGGGTGGGTACCACTGAACAATAGTACCAGGATTTGAATGTTGGAGCGCTATCATGAAACGGGGCAAATCAGAATATGACTTCTCCCAACCGCCAAATATTTCTGCTATGGCCTTTTGCTTCCCCATCCATGTTCTTCGGTATGATACCGTATATCCATATTTTTCCTTCAGCATCTCAATGATAGTATGCACTTTAAGAGAAGGATCAGTGCGAATAATGTCTATCACATCTTTAGAGATGAAATCTGAAGTCAAAGCCACGTGATCGCACGTGATCGTATTCTCCAGGGGCAATCACATTTTTTCTTCCTTTTGCATTGTGCCACCCACTTGTGTTTATCGGACTCTATCACCCGATAAAATTGGTTCCGTTTGATAGAATACAAGCTCACCATATTGATGACTTGTTCTTTGTTGTCAAACTGTTGACCGACCTCAAACTCACCATCGGGGGTAAACCTTTTCTCACCTGATCCACTCATCCACGCATCAGTAAACCCTTCAGGGAGATCATAAATTCTAGTAAAATGGCTAGACGGGGCAGTTTTCGTGACAGTATCACCATCATCTTCATCAGATTCTGTCATGTCATCACCATTGATGTTCTCGTCAGCATCATCATCAGTTCCCTGCCCATCCACAAATGATGCACCGTTGTGTAAATACCTACCATCTTCCTGTATAACCATGTCCAGTACAGGAGCCTTTGAGGAGTTCCCTGCATTCACCCCTGCATTGACATCATGCGTAGATACGACAGCATTTGATGTTGATTGAGTACCATAGGCGTCACAGGATTCCTCAATGTATATCTCAAGCGTCGACATATCTTCCATCTGAGTTATGCCCCACATATTTGTTATAGCTAGCTCATTAATGAGGGGCATAAGCATGTACTTTCCCCCGTTCATGGGAAATTTCATTTTCAACCGCAAAGAACGGCTAGGATGAATCATTGTGGCTGCATGTATTTTTTGAAGTATCTCCAGCATGCAAGCGCCACGAGAAACCATGACAAAGCTGGTTCTACCACCTTCAAGGCATATTTGCCCAGCATCCTCATAATAGTTTCCTCCCCAATGACATATGATTGGGAAGCTTGAGAAATCCATATTCTAATAACAATTCATTGTCCAACATTCATGAGTAGGCATCAATATACACACTTTAAACACATTCAAATTTTCAATAGAAAAAACTACCAAAATTGTAATATATCCAAAAGTCAAAATTCACAAACAATTCACATTTCAATATGAAACTACCAAAATTTTGATATCTACATTCACGTCTACCTTTCAATACCCAAATTTAGCTACATTCAAGTCTACCCAAATGCCCAAATGTCAAAATACACATTTAAATTTATAATCAATTTAAAATCAAATTTCAACATTTCATACATATCCACATTTCACAACAACTTAATTCACAATCAATTCATAATCCAAAAATTCGAAATTTTTAACATTCAAAACCCTAATTTCAAAATAAGATGAAAGGGATTTTGATTTACCTAGAAGAAAGAAGAAAGAGAGATGAAGATGGAGATGGAGGTTCGCCGGAATGGGGTCGCCGGAGTTGGAGATGACTTGTCCTTCGTCGGTCGTTGCTCGTCCTTCGTCGCTGCAGAGAAGCTCTCGAATGGGGGTATAATGTTTAACGCGTTCTGTTTTGGATGTCTGCGATGAATTTACTTAAGGGAAAGTCGCCCAACGGTTGGGCGAATTATAAGTCGCTCAACGGTTGGGCGACTTACCCCGACCATGGTTAATCCAGCAGTATTTTGGTAAATACTTTTAACTCAGCCCTATTTTCGTAATTAATTAATTAATTAACATTAATACGGAAAAAAACTCATTTATATCGAGATTTGAGGTTTCTTCATAAAAATTCAACTTGATAAGAAAAGTAATTTGATGTTTTTATACGGAGTATTGTATTTCCTCCATTTTTAAACAAATGCATCAGTTAACATTTCACATTTGCCGAAACAAACTTTAACCATTAATATGTGCTATTATAATTTTGTATTACATAAAAAAATAAAAAAAAATAGATTTTAAAAATTTACAATGAGACAAATTTAACAATATTTTTTCATTAAAATATGAATACATTAATAAATAAAACAAAGTCAAAGTAGGATATATGAATAATGTGAAATTCAACATGTTACATTTATTTAAGAACGGAAATAATAATATATTTATTTTCAATTCCTGCTCTCCCCTAAAATTAAATTTGAGTAGCGTCCTTGTTTTCGTTTTATTTGGTCTGTTAGGTTCCGACTAGCCCGGCGGTTTGAACTTTGAATATCTGACAGAGATATTACCCAAAATGAAACTAAAAAAGTTTGAAAATTCCAAAATAGGACTTCCATGTTTTTATTCCCAAAATAGGACTAATTACTGCCATGTTTTGGCAGTACCAGACTTCAAACATGGCAGTATTTTCCAAATTTGGCAATAATTAGTCCTATTTTGGGAATAAAAACATGACAGTCCTATTTTGGAATTTTTGAACTTTTTTAGTCCCATTTCGGGAACTTTCCCTATCTGACACTACCATATGTATGGGTCGCAAGAATGCAAGTTGCATTTCCAAAATAGGCATTATAACACTACTAATTCAACCCCATCATGGGTTGATTTTGACTGGTCGCAATTATAAAATAAAAAATGGGAATGCGATGTTTTCACTTATTAGTACAATCGTAGTCCCTAGTGAAAAAGAAGCGGAATTTAAAGATTTTTTAAGTATTACTCATAAAAAATACTTCCTTCATTCTTTTTTAGTTGTAACTGTTAACTTGCACATTTGTCAACACACGTCTTTGATCGTCGATATCTCTTATTCTCTATTAGTAAAAAAAATTAAAAAAAAATAGATTTCGAATATTTGTATTGAGACAAATGGACCAATATTTTTTTAAAAAAATAATTCTTGTAAATTAATAAATAAAACGTAGTCAAAGTAGAGTACGTGAATAGTGTACAATTCAACATGTTGCAACTAAAAAAGAACGGAGGACAGTATGTAGTCAAGAATTTGACTATAAATTACTACGAGTGATTAAGTTATATAGTCACTAGATTCTAACATTTGTATATAATTATACTTATTATTAAAGTTATCATAGTCACATTATTATACATTGATTTTATTTTAGTGATATATTTGAAAATATTTTGGGAATTTATCACCTAATGTGAGTTCGGCAAAGAAGAATCATTTAACAGCATCTCCAGCGATTAGCTAATTAATTACCCACATAGCTTGACTAGCCACATAAGCATTTGCAGCAAAATTAAAATGTACTCCAATGGTTAGGTATGACATCTTCCTCTTCATGTATTATTAATAGTGTTATATTTAGTACTTCTATTTGCTCAAACCAGTAGCTCATTTTGGCTAATTAATTTTCTCAAGCAAAAGGAGAAGCAATGCTCCAATGGTAAGTTATGAGCTTTAAAATTGCAAGCAAATTCTCAAGAGGAACCATTGAAGATGCTCTAAACTTGAGAAAGGGAGGTGAAAAGTGGGGATGTGGGATGGGGCCTGCTATAGAAAATTGTTTTTTGTTTAATATTGTTGTAACCCATACTCCATTGTTTACAAAAAAACATTCACGTTTATAATTTGTTATCTAACTTTTATATGACATCAATATTTACAAAAAAATTATAAAAAAAGGGAAATTTATGATTAACCCCTTCTGGTTTGATCATAATTACTAGTACAACCTTGTAATTTTAGATTCCAGCTATATACCCCCTGGACTTTGATTCTATTTGTTGTCTCTCCCTTCCATCAAATCCTATTAAGAAAATAAATGACTCAATAACAAACATTGTTAAATGGACACTGTTTTGACCAATATACCCTTATTATTGATTATTTGTTCAACACACTCATTACTTTTTCTAATGCTACGTATATAATTGTTGCTTGAACTCTTTGCAACTCACTTGGTTTAAGAGTAGGACGTAAGCCCCACAACAGAACAATGTTTTGAAAATCAACTTCCCAGAATTGAATTTTTGGAGTTGCACTAGAAGCCAAACACTCCACTTTCTAGTTCTCAGATCAATGATGTCTCCACTAGCCCAACTAAGATATAGATCAAATGTTGATGTAGTTTTGAAGTTTATTTTCATCAGCTAGACTATGTGGGGTTGAATACATGCCAAAATCAACTCCCAGACGATTGCATGCCTCAAACAAATATGCATCATGTCAACTAAGATTCTTCAATTTTCTTTTAATGAATGAGTCTGCGAAGTTGGGGAAAAAAGTAAAAAAGGAGAAAAGCATAGAAACTAAGCGTGCAGCAGTGGGGAAACGAACCCCTCAATTCATTGTTCGAATACTATTTGAAATAAACCTGGGAAGCTCTTGTTTTACACTCCGTAGTTTATATTAATAGAGGACATTTTGGGAAATTCTTCTAACAATTAACCATCAAATTAACTTAAAGTTAACGGAAGGGGAAGATTCCATATATAATAAAAGCTCGGGGGGTTAATAGTCCAGTTTCCAAAAATAAAAGGTTGATTTTATAATTATGACCAAACCTTAAGGGGCTAATCATTATTTTCCCAAAAAAAAATTGAAGATCTGACGGTTGAGATTTTTTGGATCCAATTTGTTTAGATAGTTTAAATGCTAAAATTAAGATTGCATGGATACACATTTTTCTACATCTTCCTCAAAAAATAGGTCTAAGATCACAGTTATAGAAATATTAACTTCCAAATTTATTTATTTTTACAATTTGACTTTTTGAAATTTTAATTATTCGTAAAATGATATTGACAAAGAATTGTGTACAACAACAAAAGTAAGTATTTCATTAAAAATAAATTGTATTGCAGGAAAAAATTAGATTGATAATGTGAATACAAAATTTTCGATTAAATCGGTTGAGAAATAGGGTTATTGATGGAGATGATTGCAATCAAACTTGGTGAAACTCGACTCAAGTTACTATTAAGTTGAGCTTATAGGTGAATACACAATATAGTATTCAGTGGCGGATCCAGAACAGAAAGTTATCGGGGGCATGCCTTCATTGAACGATCAAGAGCTTATAATTCAATGCGGTGGCTCGTTAAACCTGAAACAGTCGAATGTTTTCGCTAATATCACTTTTCCGGTGACAAGGGTGGGTGGAAACAAAAAAGAAAGATGGCCTAGCTAGCAGTTCTCTTGTTGGGGCGCACAACATATTTCTTTTAATTTTTCAGGCACTTTTGAAAATCGGAGTTACTACTAACCGTCTTTCTTAGGCGTTTTTAACGGCGTGACCCTCTTGTGATAACGGAATTCAAACACATGAACCACTTTGATAAAAACTGAAACACATGACCTTATTTGAAAACTTGTCTAACCACAAATACATTTTTAGTATTTTCCCCATAAAATGCAATGAATCCTGAAACTGTTCCAAGGGCTTCAAGTCTTACTCTTAGAGCCCGTTTGGTAGCCCGAAAATCGGCTGTTTTGGCTGATTCTGCTGAAATTTATGAAGTTCTGGCTGAAGTGGCTGCTTTGGCTGTTTCTGCTGATTTAAGTAAAAATTATTTTTAAAATATATTTTATTAATAAAATAAAGAAAAAATTATATGTAAAAATAGCTAAAATGGTCATCTACAGTAACTTCAGCCAATACAGCCAGAAAAGTAACTCTAACCTTACTTTTTCTGCTTATTACACAATTCAGCGCGCGAAAGTAAAAATTACATGTTTGGTGAAAAAGTTAGCTGATAAGCCTAATAAGCCAAAAAAAAAATGTTACCAAACGGCCTCTTATTTTGTATCCCAACTCCGATTTCCGATCCAATCATAGAATAATCCCAGAATCTGAATGAATATATTAACGAAATGCTTGCACCAATTAGGATATACTATCGTATTACAAGACATTTTTATTTTTCAGAAACCCAAAATACTACGCATTATTTGTGGTTATTTAATTTGGTGTGGATGATTTAATTTTGTAATTGTACTCTAGATTAGAACAGATATGGATATTAGAGGGATAAGTAATTGAACACTGAGTGACAAGTATTTAATTTAAGTAAACTAATATGATGAGTGGCTAATTTGGTAGATTCTATGGTACCCATAAGGTACCATACTTTTGTCCATATGGACCAATGAGAATGTAGCAGTTGAATTATTTAAATCTAAATTAAAAATGATAAAGTGATGTGGTCCAATCAAATGAATGATAGGTACGGTACCCCATATTTTAGAAAGGTACCGGAGTTGTCACCTTTTTCATTGAGAGATTCACCCAAATAGGACTAAAACAAGGTAGAATTGCAAAAATAGGACTGCTATGTTTTATTTGACAAAGGTAGGACTAAAAAGAGGTAATCTGACAAAACTACCCTCTGCAATCGATCGCCACAATTCATTTGACCGCAATTAATCTTTCGCGATTCTTTACTCTACCATGGTCGAGCGTGTTCGCATCGATCGTAGCCTCGCAGCGCCATAGCTCTGCCATAAACGACCTCTGCTGCCATTGAGGACCTCTGCCATCAACGACCTCTGCTGCCATCGAGGGACTCTGCCATCGACGATGACCTCTTCTTCCGCTTCTTCTTCTTTGTTCTCTGCATCGATTCTTCTTCTTAGTTCTCTGTTTTTTTTATCAATCAAATTTTAAATAAAATTTTGATTTTTGAAAGTTTCAAATGAGGAATGATCTGAAATTGAATTTGTTGTTATCAATTTTGATTACTTTGAATCTCAAAATGCTCTGACTAATGATTCCAGAAAATGTCACTTTTTGAATAAGAGAATGTCATAATTATTGGGTATTTTTAAAAAATGCCACTTTTATGTCATTACAATATTTGGAAATGCCATATTGAGAATGTCATGTTTCTATACGAAATTGTCATTATTGTCATATTAAGTGGCATTTTTAAAACAAGTCATTTGCATATGGAAAACATGACAGTTTCAAGCTATCCTTAAATGTCATATAAAAAATAAACATGTCAATTTTTAAAAAACGACATCTTGTGTACTGTGATGTTAAAATAAAGTTGGCATTTTGGAATAGAAAGATGACATTTACAGTTATTATAACATGTCATTTATTTTTAAACGATGGAATTTTTGAATTAAATTGTCTAAAATAATCTGTAATTCAAAAGAAACACAAAACAAGAAGAAAACAGAGGGGAGGAAGAAGAAGAACAAGAAGCAGAAGGAAGAGAAGAAGAAGAAGAAGAAGAAGAAGAAGAAGAATACCTGATTTTGCTGGAGAAAACATTGAAGAGGTGGTTCTCGACGTCGAGCAGGCAACTCCGATGAAGAGGTGACGGCCGGCGTTGAGCAGACGGCTGCGATGATGGTGGTTGATTTGCGATCGAAATAGGTCAAGCTGCATCCATGGAACCTCAATCGGAAGAGGAAGGCTGAAATGCAGGTGCAGGATCGATGGCAGAGGGATCGGGGAAACGTGATTTTGGGATTAGGGGTAAGAAGGTAATCTGGAGTCCTATTTTAGCAATTTAAAACTTAAAGTCCTATTTTGGAGTTTTAACCATGTTTTAGTCCCATTTAGGATAATTTCTTTTTTTCATTTTCAGGTGACGCGTTTCACTTGCGGCGGCTTTGCGCTTGGCGTCCGGTTCAACCACACCATGGTGGACGGCTATGGGCTCGCCCTCTTCTTAAACACGGTCTGCGAATTAGCCACCGGCGCTCCAGAGCCATCGGTTTTGCCGGTCTGGGAGAGACAGCTGCTATCCGCTGCTGATTCATCATCGCCGACGACGATTGAGCACGCCGTGGCGCCCACCAGTACCAACATGCGGTTCAAGCTGCTCGACATGGAGTGGTGGGCCAGCGTGGTTGTGGACTTCGAAAAAATGGCAGCCCGGTCCCGTTTCTTCTTCTTCCCCGCCATTCTGAAACTCATTCTGGCTCAACGCTCATTCACCCTCACTCCGCAAGACATCCAAGCCCTGAAAGACCAAGTTATGGAGGAAGGCTTCGGCAAGTGCTCCACGTTTGAGGTGATCTCCGCGTGTTTGTGGAAATGCCGCACTGTCGAGCTGCAACTGCACCCCGACACTACGGTCACCATCACTTTCCCCGGTGACATCCGGGGAAGGTCCCCGGTGACCGGACTGACACTTCCGCGTGGGTACTACGAAAACGGCATCGTGATGCTATCGGCTTCCGCCAACGCGAAGGTGTTGTGTGAGAGTCCCCTCACTTATGCCATCCAGTTGATCAGAGAAGTCAAGGAGAAACTCTGACTCTCGACTATGTCAAGTCGGTGATTAATTTCATGGTGGTAAACGGTCGTCCAAGGGTGCCCCGTGGCGAGGAACTTGCTTGTTTCTGACATATCGAGAATTGGTTTGGAGAAACTCGACTTTGGATGGGGTAACGCCATCTATGCCGGCGGTGCCATGGCGGCTTATGGAGCCACTTTCCTAGAGCGTCCGGTGAGCACCACAAGTGTGGAGAGCAGTGTTTTGGTGCCCGTTGCTTTGTTTTACATTTCTATGGTGATTTTCAACCGTGAGTTCAAGAAGACAGCTATGTCGACGTCTAATAAGCCGGTTAGGCCCCGCCCATGCACCCATCTATAAACTCATCATCCTTATTATACTATACTTATTTGTTTCCCAACAAAGGTTTCTTTTATTATAATTGATTAAGTTCTATGTCGAGAACAAGTAGTCATATTTGTGAAATTAATTGGTCTTTATTTTGTTCTCATGTGAGCAATTTCTCAAAAAAAAAAAGGTTAAGGAAGTGAGACATGTTTCAGTACTAAATTAAAGAAACTTCTCAAATCTTAACTATGTACTAGTATATTTACGAAGTATGTTACAAAAAAATAACTCGATCATCACCAACTATAGTTACTATACATGCATGTTATTTGAATGTTGTGTATGTATATTACCTGAGAAATGCTAGCTATTTGTACACGCTAAGTTCTAAACGTCATTTTATACGTTAATCAATTGTTTGTGCATAGATACTTTTTATCATTTGGTAAAGATAATCGTTTTCGTACCGTTTTTTTTATAGTATCCATCTAGACTGCATAGTTGAAGGTCATTGCCTTGTTGACTAATTTTTTATATGTGGGGCTAGGTTGAAGGCCATTCGTGGTCTCATTGAAAAATATGACATTCATTGTTAAGTCAACAAAGTAATGATGGAGAGAAGCCTTCACTTTAAAGGTCTTATCCGAATATTTTACGATCGATGGAGTATAGTTTCTCAAAGTTCGTTCCGATTTAATTTGGATCCATTTTCCCGGTCTTCCTATATACTACTTTCGTTCCTAAATAAATACTCCCTCCGTCCAGGAAGAAGTTCCCGGGTTGACTTTCACACATATTAAGAAAATAAAGTTACTGAGGGGCAAATTTTACTATTTGGCACTGTTTCGACACTGTTTGGCACTGTTTCGACACTGTTTGGCACTGTTTTGCACTGTTTGACACTGTTTTGCACTGTTTGACACTGTTTTGATGTAGGATAACTTTCTATTTAGGGAAATGGGAACTTTTTGTTGGGACTACCAAAAAAGGAAAGTGGGAACTTCTCACTGGGACGGAGGGAGTACAAAAAATTTACACTATTCACATGTTCCATTTTGACTACGTTTTATTTATTAATGTATTAATTTTTTTTTATGAAAAAAATATTGTTAAATTTGTCTCAGTGTAAATTTTCAAAATATATTTTTTTTAATTTTTTTACTAATACAAAATTATATATATTAATGGTCAAAGTTGTGTCTCGGCAAGTGTGAAATGTTGACTGTTGCATTTATTTAAGAACGGAGCAAGTACGTAGTATGAAATTGCGGTGAAGAAGCCATAAAAAATTTGTTGATACCCTACCATTTCTTGCGGTAGGGTATCCTAAGTGCACTGACATCTACGGTAGGGTGCACTGACATCTACGGTAGGGTCCTATCACCATAAAGTTCTGGTAACCGGTAGCGAGAGAGTGCCACAAGGGTTAGGTCCCGGATTCGACTCCCGGCAATTGTGATGAGAGTTATTCAATAGAAGGGCTCTACAAGTATCGGGGACGGAGCCACACTCTCTATCTGTCAGATTATGATTATAGTCCAATTTATATCCTCTCATTGTGCCATTCGGTCGGTGTTGGGGGCCCTCGGGGATGGGGTATCATCCTTTTCTTTTGAATAATTTTATTGTAATTATGCAAACTTCACCTACTCATTGGCTTGAACTCAGACAACTGTTGTTTTATTGGTCGTTAGAAGCTACTCTCTCCATCCCATATTTATCTCATTTTTTGACTGGGCACAAATTTTAAGATGGTGGGAAATGTGTGGTGGAGAGTTGTGCAGAGGGGAGAGAAATGTGTAAGAATGATTGTGAAGCACAAATTCTTTGCTAAAAAAGGAAAGAGGAGATAAATTTGGGACGGACCGAAAATGAAAGTATGAAGATAATTTGGGAACAAAGGAAGTAATATACGAAGTACATTCTATTGATTTTTGTTTAGAATGATACTTCCTCGTATTATATATTCTGTGGTTCATGTGGAAGGCTACAATTCCAAAATTTGGAACAATCAAGACTTGAATAGCCTACAAGTTATTTATCAAGTCAAACAATACTTCCATCAATGGAGCATTGGAGCCTCATCAATAAAGATGCCAAATACGAAGGGATACAATGAAGAACTGTATGTTTCTAGCTGGACTTAAAATCTAGGAGTGAACTTTTAGCATTCTTGGTTTCAAACATTCTTGTAGCATGAGTGAACTTTTTAATTATGTCGATCAATGGTTTGTTGGATCTGAATGCTAATGCACTTTAAGTGTGGTCTATTGCACTGTTTTAATTTTGGTCGAGTCATGCAAAAGAAAAAGCAGAATCATTTTGATAAATAGATCAAAGTTTTATGTCAATGCAAAAAAGTGCGAAATTGGGATATAGAGGCCGTTTGGCAACACTATTTTTCGGCTTATCAGACTTATCAGTCAACTTGTTCACCAAACACGTAATTTTTTCTTTTGTGCGCTGAATTGTGTAATAAACAGAAAAAGTAAGGTTAGAGTTACTTTTATGGTTGTATTGGTTGAAGTTACTGTGGATGACCATTTTAGCTATTCTTACATATAATTTTTTTTATTTTATTAATAAAATAAACTTTTAAAATAATTTTTTCTTAAATCAGCAGAATCAGCCAATACAGCCACTTTAGCCAAAACTCCATAAATTTCAGTAGAATCAACCAAATCAACCGATTTTTGTGCTACCAAACAGGCTCTTAATAGTGCATCACTTAGAAGACTACATTAAAGGGTGGATGATGACGGATGAGGCTCCCATTGAGTCTGAAATTAAAAGAATAGACTCAATTTTTCTTACATGTAAAAGGAATTCTTTGGGGTTAGGTCACCAATACAACAACAACATCCAAGCCTTAGTCCCAAACGATATTGGGGTCGGCTAACATGAATCGATATATGATATCACCAAAAGGAAAAGAACGAAAATAAAGATAAAAAAGATAAGCTATTATAAAAAAAAAAGATAACATAAAAGAGATGAATATACATATAAAAGATCAAATAAAAAGGATAAAGTAATATTTATATATGAGGATAAAAATATAAAAGAAAACGAAAAAAAAAGAGGAGAAAAGATGATACAAGATCACTCTTCCACACGAATACCCGCCCTCCATTTTGCTCTCTCCAAAGCCATACTCTCATCCAATCCAAGAAGAAGCATATCACTTCTGACTCCCCTAACTCACATATGTTTGGGCCTTCCTCTCCCTCTCTTCCCTACCTCTTCTCCACACATCTCAACTCGTCTGACAGGTGCATCACTCGGTCTTCTATGCACATGACCAAACCACCGTAGGCGTGACTCCCGCATCTTATCTTCAATAGGTGCTACTCCCACCCTTTGTCTAATTGTCTCATTCCTCACGCGGTCCTTTCTAGTATGCCCACACATCCAACGCAACATGCGCATCTCTGCCACACTCATCTTTTGAATGTGACATTGTTTCACCGCCCAACACTCCGTGCCATACAGTAATGCAGACCTAATTGCTGTCCTATAAAATTTACCCTTCAGTCTAGTCGGCATACCTCGATCGCATAGAAATTCTGACGCACGCTTCCACTTCATCCACCCTGTTCTGATTCTATGGGATACATCTCCATCTAACTCACCGTCCTTCTGAATTATGGAGCCCAAGTAACGGAACATATCGCTGACCGGTATCTCCTTACCATCTAAAGTAATTCCGCTATTACCACTGCTTCTACCTCCACCAAACTTGCACTCCATGTACTCTGTCTAGCTTCTACTTAGTCTGAAACCCTTGTTCTCCAATGTCTGTCTCCATACTTCCAACTTTGCTTTAACCCCTGATTGCGTCTCATCAATCAATACAATATCGTCGGCAAACATCATGCACCACGGTATATCGTCTTGAATTGACTTTGTAAGTTCATCCATGACTATGACAAATAAAAAAGGGCTCAGAGTCGATCCTTGGTGCACTCCGATAGTAATAGGGAACTCCGCAGTCCTCCCTACACTAGTACGAACACTTGTAGTACTATCCTCATACATATCCATGATGATGCTGATATACTTGCGTGAAATGCCTTTTCTAGTTAAGGCCCACCAAAGAACTTCTCGAGGTACCCTATCATATGCCTTTTCTAAGTCAATGAATACTAAATGCAAATCCTTGTGAGCATCTCTATACTTCTCCATAAGTTGCCGAAGAAGGTGAATAGCCTCAGTTGTTGAGCGACCAGGCATAAAACCGAATTATATATGTGAAATCTTCACCGTTCTTCGAAGTCTTTGCTCAATCACTTGCTCCCAAAGTTTCATGGTATGACTCATAAGCTTAATCCCTCGATAGTTGGCACATTCTTGTACATCACCTTTATTCTTAAATAAGGGAATAAGAGTACTCTTTCTCCAACACGTTGGCATCTTGTTGTTTCTCCAAATTTTGTTGAAGAAATTTGTTAACCACTCGATGCCTCTCTCTCCCAAACTTCTCCAAGCCTCGATTGGTATGCCATCTGGACCCACTGCTTTCTTCCGGCCCATCTTCCTCAGAGCCTCTTTAACTTTCGTTGGTTGGATCCTTCTCACAAAATCACGATTTACCATACAATCTGGTATGGTCAAATCATCGATATCTTGCACTTTGTTCCCGTTGAACAATGTATCAAAGTATGATCTCCACCTCTCTTTTATCTCTCTGTCCTCCATTAATATCCTTTGATCGACATCTTTCACACACTTAACTTTTCCGATATCTTGAGTCGTGCGATCACGAAGACGAGCAAGTCTATAGATATCTTGTTCTCCTTCCTTAGAGTCCAATTTTTCATACAACTCCTTGTTCACTTTCCCTTGTGCTTCTTTTACGACTTTCTTTGCTTGTCTTCTAGCCTCCTTGTATGCTTCTATGTTCTCGTCACTCCGACTTATCCCCAGCTTTTTGTAGCAATCTCTTTTGTTCCTTATGGCTTGTTTCACCTCATCATTCCACCAAGATGTGTCCTTTTTGGGTGGCAGACATCCTTTAGATTCCCCAAGTACCTCCTTTGCCACTTTGTTAATGGTCAGTTCCATCAATAACCACGCATCCTCCACATGTGTTCCATTATCAATTCGCCATACATCTTCACCGAACATTTTGTGTGTAAAGCTTTGTTGAAGATCCCCCTCAAGCCTCCACCACTTTATCTTTGGCTCCACTTGTTGCTTAACTTGTCTTCTATGGTTCTTACCTCGAAAGTCGAGCACAAGCATCCTATGCTGAGTGACAACACTCTCACATGTGATAACCTTACAATCGGTGTAGCTAGTTCTCCAAGTAGTCCGTACTAAGAAGTAGTCAATTTGGGTACTATTAGCTCCACTTCTATAGGTTACAAGGTGAGAGTCTCTTTTCCTAAACCAAGTGTTTGGACAAATATAAGACATCTTTCAGTTATTTCCAAAAAAGATACCATCAGTATGATCTATTACTTGATTTTGGGATGGAATTATCAAATATGTCCCTCCCTTATACTCCTTCCATCCCTGATTGTTTTTCCAAATTAAGAAAGTGGGAATTGTGTGTTGGAGAGTTGTGCAGATGAGAGAGAAATGTTGTGAACCACAAATTCTTTGTCAAAAGGGGAAAATTGAGTTTTTTTTAGACGGACGCAAAGGGAAAGTTAGAAAATAATTCGATACTACTCCGTATGCAGTTATGCACTAATTCATGTGCCCACGTTTCACTTTGTCGTTTCCAACTTTCCTAGACCACAAAAAATTCACCTTTATATCTTCTTTTCCAATAAATTATAGTCAGTGATAATTTATAATTAATTGATCCGATCAGTTACAATACGTCCAAATAATTCCAGTTACACATCTAACCAATAGTAGTTATCCATCACCAGTTACAATTATCTGCCCAACTAATTACACTTACCGCCCGATCAATTATAGCTATGTGACGCCAGTTAGAGTTACATGACCCACCAGTTACAATTACTCTATTCGCCAGTTACAGTTGCACGATCCGCCAGTTACAATTACGCGATTCGACAGTTACAGTTACTCACTTACGCGACCCACATGTTACAGTTACCTGGTTTGCCAGTTACAATTACATGACTCGCCAGTTACAGTTACATAACTTGCCAATTATAGTTACATGACCCGCCAGTTACAATTATCCGATTCACGAGTTACAGTTACAATAATCCACTAGTGACCGCCCGACTCCAATGACTACCCTGCCCCAATTACAACCCGGCTCCGGTGACACCTCACTCGAGTGACACCAGACTTAATAACTGATGACCGCCTGGCTCTCGTATCACTCCAACTCCAGTGACACCGAGCTTAAACACCAGTGACCACGTGGTCCCAATGACCACCTGACCACAGTGAATTCAATGCCTCACGAGTGACCACGACCACCTTGGCCATCCTACTGATCGCCGCCATCCCCGACCATTGCCTCCCCCGTAATCGCTTCTACCTTGACCAAAGCCACCCTTAGGCCCCTACTAGCTCCCTACCTTACCAGTTCAAGCCAACCCCAAGCCCTGTCCACCCCAGCCCGGCCCACCCCAACCCTGCTCACTGCCGCACCCAGCCGTGCTCACTGCAACACCAGTGCAACCAGCGCCCCCTGCCCCATAAGCCCACCCCAACCCCTCCCATGTAAGACTACACTAGCCCTCGACCCACCTACCCCACCAGCCCACATCATCTAACCCCTCCCCCACCAGCCCACCCCCTCCCCCACCAGCCCACTCCCTCCCCCACTAGCCTACCCCAGCCACTGCCAATAACTCAACTCGCCGTCGAACTCATCACAATCAGTCCATAGCCACAACTGTCCGATTTTGACCCTCTCCACCAGCCCGTCGCACAAAATTGCCGGATCTGAACCAGATCTGTAGCACCGCGCTCGCCTCCATCGCATTCTTCATCCTCAATAGTTCAAGCAGAGGAGAAGACAGTAGAAGGAGGTGGTGGTGGATTACACGAGAAGAGATGTTTGAGGGCTGAAGCGGCGACCGGCGTACTGGTGAGAGCTGAAGCGATGGTGACTGGTGGTGAGAGTTGAAGCTAAGGCGGCCGATGATTGGTGAAGCATAGACGAAGTAGCAGAGTTCTGAAGTGGCGACGGCAGCCGACTAGTGTTGAAGCTCCGAAGAAGGCCGACGAGTGCTGAAGCGTCGACAGCGGTCCCATTGCAGCGGCAAGGGCAGTACTCAAGCGATGATAGATGTGGGAATGGCAGGGGTAAAGGACGGAGCTGGGTTGTTGAATTTGGGGTTCTGCTACATATAGTAAATTATATTAGGGGCAATTTAGTCCATCCATGTATAATGAGGCTCTATTTTGTCCGGATTGTAAATAAGTCTCATTTTTGTCTTTTGAACCGGCTGGAGTATTATATTGGTCATTGTTTCAAATTCTTTGGGCCTTTTTATTCAAATATTACTAAACTGAGTGAAAAAAACAAAAATGTGACTAGTTTTAAATTTTTACTAAAAAGTGAGTAGAAGTCATTTAACCATACATATATTATTTTAAAATTCTTTTTATGTACGAAGTACTTAATTAGTCAAACATTTTGCAGCCACCAGAGGCTCCTTGGGTGCCAACACCAGCAACGCCGCCGTCATCGGCACCGCCGCCGTCACCGGCATTGCCGTCGTCACCGGAACCGTCGCCGGAACCTCCGCCGCCAGTCACTATCTCAGTGACTCCGGTCACAGTGACTCCGGTCACAGTGACTCCGGTAACAGTGACTACGCCGCCAGTGACTACCTTTGCAGTGACTACCCGTCGCCATCCAGTGACTACTGTCACCCCCGACCCGTGACTGCTGCCCTCCATTACACCGGCACCGCCAACATAGATTGCCCATCCTCCGACCTCTTCTACCCTGCTAGCTCATCCCTGCCGTTCAACACCATCACCCACCAATATCTATCCCCAAGCCCCAATCTGTCACTCTCCCAACCTCCTGACCATCCCCACCGGCACAAATCTCAGCCCCGGCCAACAGATCTCAGCCCAGCCCCAGCCCCAGCACCATCCCCAACACCCTCCGACCACCACCGAAGAACACCATGTCTGGCCACTGCCGGAGACCACTCCAGTCAGTCTCCTCCCCAACCGCCCAACCCCCTCCTCTGCTCCCCTACCCCTCCCAGCCCTAAACCCCTGCACTCGCCCCTCTCCTATTCTCCCAGTGTTCCGCAGCACCCTCCCAACCACGCAGAGCCCCTATCCTCAAATCCGTTCCCCTATCAGCCTCCCAGACCCCATCCCCTGCCCTCTCCGCATTTTAAACCCTAGCCATCACCTTTCACCTTCATTGTCATTGAACGAGAAGAAAGGAGAAGAAGAAGAGCGAGGATGAAGATGATGAAGGTCAGATCCGCCGCCATGACCGGTAATTGGACCGATGAAGGTCAGATCCGTCGCCACGACCGATAATTGGACCGATGAAGATGGAGAAGCAACTCCAGAAGTGGATCTTCGTCTCAAAGAAGGATATTTCGAGCGGCGGAGGGGATAGAGTCGTCGTCGCCGGAGTATTACGTTGCAGCAGAGACTGGCCGTCGTCTCCGGATCCTCGACGTTCCCGTCGGGAATTCACCGCCCTCACCGTTTGCGAAGATGGTTGGTGGAGGAGCAAGATGCTGCTTGCGTTGAAGTAGATGGTGGAGAAGATAGCGTAGATCTGTTCGCTGGTGCAATGATGCGATGGGATTTTGAAGGTTGAGTCACATTTTTGGGAAAAAATAAAATTTCCATACTTTTGGAATCTGAAAAGCCGTAGATAATAAATGGGCCATTATTTCAAATTCTTTTACATCTATAGTTATTATTGAAAAACAATAAGATTTCATTCTGTTTTCGGTTCTGTTATGTGTTAAACAATTATCCCATGAATCAATAATCAATGCATAAAAAGTAGTATATGTGTTCACAATTATGGCTAGGAGAGAGGTTCTTCACGGAAATGTTATACGTAGACCGTCTAGGACATGTGTGTACTATAATAACAATCATAATTTCATTCCATACACTTATTTTATTGACACTTTATTTTTGTAATTCTATCAAACTAGATAAATTTATACTCTACACTCAGTTCACTCTCCTAAGTGTGCTTACATCACCCCATAAAGTTATTTTAGTGACATTTTTAGTTGCATTTTATATGTTTTACGTTTAATTCACTCTCTTAAGTTTGCTTACACAGTTACACTTCTCAAACTTAATTCAAACAAAAAAATTATATTCGTAGAATATATTACTACGTAATATATTAAAAATAAAAAGCACTACTTGGCCTCTGAAGAATCTAGTTCTAATTCACTTAAAGGCTGCAATATACCGACCTTTTGGAGGTCAATTACGCACAAAAAACCATCACTTTAACTCCAACCAAAGTTTTCATTTTCCTCTAACAACTTAACATATAGAGAATATAATAGGACAACTAGACAAGCGTCTTCTATACCACTACCTCATCTTTCTGCCCTATAGAATCCCAGAATTGTTGCCTAATCGCTTCGCAGTTAAAATCAAGACGAGGTAAATTTGTCACTAGCTCCCGGCCTGTAGATCCCATGTGAGGAGGAAAAGAAGTGGAAATACAAGGACGCTAAAGTAAAATAATACACTCACCCAGACGAGTGGTTAGACGATCGAAAAACTTCGTCTGGGGAGAGACGGCGGAAGAGATAGAAGGATAGCGACTCTAAAATGAGTTCAAATCGCAATTTCAGGTATAGTTCTTTGAGTTTAAATTGCAGAAGTTGAGCTAAACTTTGGGATCAAACGATATTCCTCTTTCTGTTCCTCTCTCACTTTTTTGTAATTCAATCAGATTTGATTTTGTAGTTTATTGGTCTGAATCACTGGGTTTCTGACTTCTTAAGCTTCCTACCAAAGTTAAATTCTGAATATTTCTGCCTCTAGTGTGCATGCTGATTTGTGGGTGTACATAATTGAGTTCATATAAAGGCATATCTTCTATGCCTCTAGATATTCATGAATTACTCGTTCGGTAGGTTGATCTTGCGTTGGAATCTTATCTGGAAGCGTAGTTAGTGTTCGATAAGATTAGGGAATGATTCTATGGTGATATGTGCTTCCCAGTTGCATTGAATTTGCATAAAAATGACGCTTTTGCACAGAGTAATTTCCTCTCGCGCTGCCTTCAAGATCATTCGTGCGCACGAACTTTATTGCTAGCTAGCTAGCTAAAATTTCCAATGAGGTGTTGTGTTTGACATCTGCAGATGTGACTTCTGACCTTTTGTCTGCACGGACTTCACCTTATTAGAAACTGAAACTTGAGTGGTATAAACTTTCTCAACTAAAGGAAGCTGAGATTTTTAATGTCTGCTCTGCGTTTTTCTTGTTTAAAAAATTGGAATGTGTTTCCATTAAATTTAGCCAACCCCAAAATCTTTTGGGATTAAGACTTGGATGTTGTTGTTGTTGTACTTCATGGGAGAGCACATGCTTTCAATTATCAGTTTGCGTCTTTTTCTTCTCCCTTCCACTGATTTATTCTTATATATGTCATGTGTAGTAATGTGTATTTCCTTGCGTGCATAGAATATAAGAATAGAAATATCATTTCTCTATTTGCATGATAATAACAATAAGGCTAAATTTGATTATTGTAACTGCTTCAATCATTCTTCTTATACATATTTGTAGTTTAAGTCTCTTTGGACACTACAAGGATTTTTCTCCCTTTCATTAGTCAATCAAGGTACACAGCTCTATCAGGTTTCTGTATAGATGGAAGGAAATGTAGGAAAAGGTATGACTGGCCAGCAGAAAAACTATGAGCAAGTTTGCTATGGCTCCATGGAGACAAGAAACGAGGGAATCGGATCTGCAAATCAAAGAGTTTTTCAGGATGCCTCGAGCTCTATTAATATGAATATACTACCACCAGATCTTAATATGCCACTTGGAGCTAGACCTGTTCTAAACTTTTCTATACAGACCGGTGAGGAGTTTGAATTCATGCGGGACAGAGCTTATCCAAAACAGCACTATGTTTCACATCCAACAAGTGAGCCTTGTAGTGCCTCATCTTATATGGACCTGAAGGACATGCTTGAAACATCTCATACAGGTTCTAAGAATGGATCAGATATTTCAAAGATTGCCACTATTGACAAAAGTCGGGTCCATGACCATGAGAGAAAGACTACTCTAAATGAAGAGCATTCCTTCTCTCAAGCTGCACAATCTGTTTATAGGGTCTCCTCAAGGAACAATGAGGGCCGTGGGGTTCACAGCCATGTGTTATACAAACCTTCCAAAACGTATAAGTTTCTTTGCAGTTTTGGTGGCAAAATTTTGCCTCGCCCAAGTGATGGAAAACTAAGATATGTTGGAGGAGATACACACATTATTCGTGTGATGAGAGATATATGTTGGGATGAATTTAAGGAAAGAATATTGACAGTATACAGCGCAACTGACATAATAAAGTATCAGCTTCCTGGTGAGGAGCTTGATGCTTTGGTGACAGTTTCTTGTGATGAGGACTTGCAAAATATGATGGAAGAACGTAATGTGATTGAGGATGGTGGATCTCATAAACTTCATATGTTTCTGTTTTCCCGTGTTGATTTGGATGATTCTCAACTTGCTCTAGAAAATGTGGAAGGTGATACAGAATTTCAGTATGTAGTTGCTGTGAATGGAATGGATATTTGCTCAAGGCAGAGCTCCGTTGGTCGAGCAAGCACTTCAGGAAACGCTCTAGACGATTTACTTGGCTTAAGAAATGATAGAGTGCATGGGCGAGTTGTTGCTAACTTGGCATCAGTTGATAATATGAATCCTGTGGGTGGTTCGCCGTCCAATAAATCATCTCCTAGGGTGGGGTCAAGTTCATTACATGAATTGGATTCCAATCCACAGGGATACCATATTCAAACAACACCCTACAGTGGGGTTGATCTGCAACAGTTATCTTCCTCAGAACTTATGGGCAACTTCTCGATCATAGATAGAAACAGCACTGACATGGTGTCTGCTCCTCTGAATTATTGCTTTGGTCCTCAAATATCCAATTATGCACAGGTTGGTGAAGACAACTTTGTGATAAATCCTTGCCATATTCAGATGGCTGTGGGAGGAGGAGACTTAACTGCTGATTACTCATCAAGCAACTCCCATGGGCTGGATCCAGAAGTATCAGCTAGTGAAGTGAAATTAAAAAGAGATGCAGCCACCCAGAAAAGGATTCAACTTGGTAATGGTAAAAATGAATCCCTGGAAACGGAGCCTAAAGAGGAAAAGATGATGAGAGAAATTTCAATGCAGAAAATGAACGGACTTGAGACAGGAAGGCCTTTAGAATATGAAAGGGTTGTGCCTTCTATCCCATATGAAAGCTCAACTCCCAATAACAGTTTCCGAGTTGAAGAACCAACCTCAGATGCTGCTGCTAATGCATCTATAGGAAATTCAGCTATGCTATCCAAAGGTAGTATAAACAGTCTGGATCAGAAGCAGAGCTTGGTGTCTCCGGAATGTGGTAAGGAAGAAAGAATAGATTCACATAATGAAGATAGTGTGTTTGCTGCATCGAACACAGTATCAAACTCTGGTGCATCTAGTACAGTCTCGAACTCTGGTCATGCCAACTCTGATGTATATCCCTTTGGCTTTAACTCTGAAACTCCTGCAGTTCCTCCAAGACACTTTCGTTCAGAAAGAATACCGCGTGAGCAATCTGGCCTAAATCGTTTGTCAAGATCTGATGATTCCTCAGTTTCACCATTTCTAGTGACCCACTCACAATATGAAGATTTGCAGCAGATGACAGAATCAATTGATAAATCTCACAATGGGAATAAGGCTGTGGAGACAACTCGCCTGATTTCTTCAATTACGTCTGCGAATCAACCTGAAGCTGAAGATAATTCAGTTCAGTTGCAGAAATATGAAGAGGTTGCTGATAACTCCAGAGCAACTGGTTCACATATATTTAATGATGGAGGTATCACAGATGTTATGAACATTGAACGTAAGCCTCCTAACCTCACTGACAGGGTCACTCCCCAACCAACTCTTCCTCCAATGAGTAGTCATGTTTCCAGTGAGTCTGCATGTAAGCCAACTGAGAATATGGCTGATGAAAATAACGCAATGGGAGAAGTGAAGTCTCTGGCCATCAGAGAGCAAGCAGTTGGAACAGTTAGCCACCCGATTCCATCTTCTAGTGAGCATGTGGACATTGTCGTCGAGATTAACGATCGCTTCCCACATGATTTCCTGTTTGGAATATTTTCTAAAGCAATCGATGGATCAGAAGGAATTGCTACTTTTGAGGGTGCAGTAGGTGGTCTGAGCGTAAATATGGAGAAACGTGAGCCTATGCACTGGTCACATTTCCAGAAATTAGCTCAGGGTGATTTTGTTAGGCGAGACGTGTCTCTTATGGATCAGGATCATCCTAGTTTCCCGACTACAAGTGCACATGTCGAAGAACTGTCAATGGATTACAGCTATCCAACATCGAAGATCAGTGGAGTTGGTTTGGAGTCTTTGGACCCTCACATTAATGTTGAAGCTAACATTCATCAGCGGTCACCTCACATTACTGAAAATGTGACCATGGCTTTTCCTTCGGATTATAATCCCTCTCAAATCACTGAAATCCAGACTGCTCAACTTGATTGTATGATTAATCCAAAAACACCCGAGTCCGTTTTTCAGGTAGCAAGTATACCTGTGAATTTTCTTTATTTGAATATGCACTAACGACACCCCTTTCCCAACCCACCCTGATGCTTTTCCATTTTTCTTTTTTTAACATGTGAAGGTTGAGATCCGAGATGCTCAGAATGCTGCTGTTCCCCCAGTCGACTTTCCACTGGGACATTTTGATATTAATTCCTTGCAGGTAGATTAGCCTTTTTTTTGTTATCACAGATCTATACACTATGTTATTTAATCAGTGAATACTTGACGGGTACTCCCTAATCCCTATCCGGCCGTAGATGTTGCCAAGTTATTTACCTTTTCCATAGTGGTCATGGCGCACGGCGCTCACCATGGCTCAAAGGCATTTTTCATGGCGATGGCGCATATATGAATGGCGCATAAAGCGCATATGGCGCTATGGCGACGACCAGTTTTTCATGGCGATGGCGCATATGGCGTGCGCCATATCTAGCCATTGACTACTATGACCTTTTCTATTCCACTCAATGAACCGAGTTACTCAGCGAGTACTTGGCGATCTTAGCAACTTGGTGAGTATGGTTACTTGGCATGTAACCCGATCATTATTAATTGTAACATGTCTCAAATAAAAATAGGTTTACTAGGAGATTAAAAAGAACTCGGGGGTTCTTAGAGTTTATTTAACTATTTTCCAGGTTTTTACTGATTCATAGAACTATGAATTATTGCCCAAGATGTGTGTGTAGAAAAGGGGGAAGTTGAAAATTGTGCTGATCTTGAACCAACTAATGATTGGACATAAGAACTTTCGTTTTACTGGTGATAAGATCATATTTAAACACTTTATGTGGATTATCTATACTATAGAAGGAAATCTCACGACCTTAATCGAGAGGCTCTATTATGAGATGCGCTTGTGTGAAATGTTAGTCAAGGATGAAACTCTTCTACTATGGACTCTGCTGAAACAAGAGTCTACATGTCAAGCACATCCCAGCCACACTGATAAAAAGTTAAAAACATATTGACTCGTGATATGAATATGAAGATCTTTTAGACATTTTATGTCCTACGTGAGATAACATTTTCTATTACTTTCACTACAGATCATAAAAAATGAAGACCTTGAAGAGTTGAAGGAATTGGGATCTGGATCATTTGGCACTGTATATCATGGAAAATGGAGAGGAACAGATGTTGCCATCAAGAGAATAAAGAAAAGCTGCTTCACTGGTCGTTCATCTGAACAGGCGAGGCTGGTGAGTTTTCTTTAGAACTTTTATTCTGCAATAAGTGCACGTAATTAATGTGTTTTAGTTGTACGTATTGTCTATGATAAGGGAGCGAAAATCAAATTGAAACCCGGAATCCGGCCCAGGCCTGCCCCAAAAGATGTTACTGGTTTGGTTTTTCCTCTTTTGGTGGTCTGGTTAAAAATGCCCAGAGTGAACTCGAAATTCGAGCTAAAATGGTCCCTAAAATCTGCGACCAGGCCCAGATTGGTCAAAACCCAAAACTGTTACATGTAATTTAAAATCAATATAATGTACCAATATTATTTACTCATATGCATCTTAAACGCAATATTAAGAAAACTTGTGATGTTTGAATTTGAATTGTTGGTGATTTTGAAGACTATTATTTGTGTTATACTCCCTCCATCCCTTATATCTTAGCTATCTTTCCTCTTTTGGTTGCCCCAAAAACTTTATCACTTTCCCTTTTAATCAATGAATTTGTGGTTCCTATTATTGCTGTATCCTTATGCAAGCTCAACCACACAGTATTTACTTCATTATTTCCTGTTTCAGTTAAACTTGGCAAAGTTTTGAGGGATGGAGGGAGTATATGATTTGTATTTGTGAGTAATTTATTTAAAAACAGGTTTTACAATACAAAAAGACAATGTGATGATATCTTTTTCCAGCTTTAACCGACCCTACCCGAACCCAAACCTAACTGGGATTATAAAAACCTGAATCAGACCGAATATAATGGCCCATCTTCCTGTCCCAGATTTTATGGGTAAGTTTCGGATATAGGAAAAATCCGATCAAGATCATACCGATTACCGATCCTACTCCTAGCCTAGGAGCCTATATGATTGTACTGAGAAAAAAGGCAGTCTGGTGCACAAAGTCATCCCCGCAAAGTAGGGTCCCGGAGAAGGGTCCCACCACAAGGGTGTATAAGGGGCAAACCTTCCCCTTAGATTTTAACATGAGACCTCTCCCAGGACTTGAACCTGTGACCTCTCGGTAACATAGCAACAGCTTAACGGGTGCGCCAAGGCTCCCCTTCCTTATACTCCGTATGATGATTGTATTGATAATGCATTTTTTTGCACTAACATCCATTATGTATTTATTTATTCAGACAGATGAGTTTTGGCGTGAGGCTGACATTCTTTCAAAACTTCACCACCCAAATGTAGTGGCATTTTATGGGGTTGTGCAAGATGGGCCTGGAGGAACTCTTGCTACTGTCACAGAGTTCATGGTTAATGGATCCCTCAGACATGTGTTGCTTTCCAAGGACAGGTGCCACCTAATTTTAGATAGGTCTTGTAATTAATAATAAGCCTGATCTTCTATACCAACATATTTTCATATTCTATCTTTTTATAAATTTCAAGACATCTTGATCGTCGCAAGAGGCTCATCATTGCAACAGATGCAGCATTTGGAATGGAATATTTGCATTCAAAGAATATTGTGCATTTTGATTTGAAATGTGACAATTTGCTTGTCAACTTGAAGGATCCCTCTCGGCCAATTTGCAAGGTGACTGTGTGAAGATAAGATCATGCTATCAGTTATAAATTTATAATTAAAATTGTAGTTCATTAATCTATAGATAGATCTGATTTTTTTACCAAACATGATGCCTCATTAAATAGTCCAGCACATAGGAGTTCTGTGCAATACTCCGCATTTTGCTAGTCTCACCTGTGTCTGAGGGAAAAAGTAGTTTTGCTATCGCCTACTCTGTCTTGATTAAAAAGGATAAAAATGATTAATGCTGGCATTAACCTACATATATGATACTATGTATATGATGATTGTGCAATTCTCATATCAGGTAGGTGATTTTGGGCTGTCCAAAATAAAAAGAAACACCTTAGTGACTGGTGGTGTGAGGGGAACTCTTCCATGGATGGCCCCTGAGCTGTTAAATGGGAGCAGCAATAAAGTTTCCGAGAAGGTAGGTCAGGTCCAAGTATTACATTTAAATATATAAAAATTGAACGTGTTGGTGAGAAAAGTCGTGTGATTGATCATTGGAGAGGATGAAACATATTTTGAACTTCAGAACATTGGTCTTTTGATCAAAATTCTATCGACATCTTTCTGTTTTTTCTCTTGACCACATTTACAATTCCTTTTGCAAGGTTGATGTCTTCTCCTTCGGGATTGTACTTTGGGAAATTCTTACTGGTGAAGAACCTTATGCCAATATGCATTATGGAGCCATAATAGGTTATTATTTTCCCATTTTACAAGTTTTTTAGGGAGTCTTCTATGAGGCAGTTTCACAGTGCGATGGGACTTTCAATGTATTCTAATACTTCAAACGTGAAAGTAAAACTACTGTTGTTTTTTCAAACGAACAGTTTTCTTCAAGTATTACTTACTAATTTTTAGAATGTGGTAGTTTATAGTAGTATTATATATTGGTAGTGTAACATTTGAATGACGTCAGTCACTGATACCGCATTTATCTCAATCTTCTAAAACCGTGCAGGTGGTATTGTGAACAACACCTTAAGGCCGCACATACCAAGTTTCTGCGACTCTGAATGGGCAATGCTTATGGAACAGTGCTGGGCTCCTGATCCAGCCGCACGCCCGTCCTTTACCGACATTGCCAGACGCTTACGTGTCATGACGGTAGCATGTCCTGCTAGACCACATGCTCATCAGGCCCCAACCCAACAATCCAAGTGATCAACTGTCGATCCATACCAGTCCTACACATAGACCTGCAGTTATTGTCTGCCTCGTCTGTGTAAACAATAGAGGGGGACACGGGGGATTCGTTTTTATGGAAGTATGATGATTTGAAATAACGTACTGTCCAGCGTCGATAATTCATAGTTGACTCCGCGTATATATTGTTAATAATTGGTCAAACAAGACAAGAAAATGTTATTACATACTTCGTACTACGTATATGTTTGTATAGACACTGTAAAGCAATATTGTTGTTCCTGTTGGTGTAACTTCTATTATTATTGTAATATTATTTTTATTGTGGTTGTTATTATTGTTTTTATTATTATTACTACACAGTACTAATTTACTATTGTTTTTATTACTAATTTACTATAAATATAACAATAATGATACGAGTAACATTTATTGTTGCTCCGTACTATTATTCTTATTAGAATAATAATAGTAAAATAATACTTTTACACATTTGGTAAAAGATGCGACTTGGTCATTGTTTAATTAAGGGAAAATTGTCAAATTGGTCCCCGTACTATACTGAAAAAGTCAATCAGATGCTCGTACTATAAAATCGTTCAATCAAGCACTCCAACTATTAAAATACATTCAAATCACACCTTTTATCCGGTAAGCAACCAGTTACCCACTTCTTTTACATACCTGGCGGTCCACTAGGTTAATTTGACTTTTATCTTTTTCTTTTTGTTTTTCTTTTTGTTTTTCTTTCTTTCGTCCTTCTCTTTCCTCTTTCTTGGTCCAAATCTGTTTGCTTCCACCTTCCTCAGAGCATCTCATGTTTCGTCCAGCCAAATCTTCTTTCCTTCTCTCTGTGTTTCTTCTTTGTTCTTCTTTTTCATTTTTCTCAATTTTTTTGTTTATTCTCTTTTATTTTATATACAATATATGTATATATATACGGAGAATATATATACCCACACAGGACATAGATACATATTTTGCTACACCCGCTTCTTCTACAACGACTTCCTGAACGAATCTCTCCATGCTTCAGCAAATTTATTGGCCGAGTATTTAAGCATTTAAATCTTCTTCCTCATTAATAACTCGGCGATATCAATTTCACCACACGGCATTCTCGATACCCCCGCCCTCAAGAATGCCCGGAGGTCCTATAACAACCAACCCCGGCGAAGCGCTTAATTCACATGTCACACGTCCTTATTTTTGTGTGATTCAATATTAAACATAATCTTTCGTTCGTCAGCTCCTGTTCTTCACAGTTTTCTATTCATCGATCCCTGATTAATTCAGTTTCAATTCTGAGATTTTGTTGAGCTTAATTTTTTATTTGATTTTATGAGCCACACATTGCTACTTTGTATAATTAATCCTTTGTAACGAGCTTGTAATATACGTGAGTAATAAATACGGAGTACTTGGTACCGTAGAAGGACAAAAAAAGACACAAGTTAAAAAGAAAATTAAAGAATATGAGGAGAAGCATATACAATTAAAGATGTCTGAGTAAGAGTCAAAATAGAGAACCAAGAAAGGGGGAACTAGGGAAGGGGAAATAAAAGGGAAAGAAAATGAGATTAAAATTTGACACGTGCACGTGCAGTGGGTTGCCACATGTGCATGTAACTTGTCTAACCGGTTGTTTACCGGTCAAAGGTGCAATCTGAATGTTTTTTAATAGTTGGAGTGCTTGATTGAACGATTTTATAGTACGGGGACCTGATTAACTTTTTCAGTATAGTACGGGAGCCAATTTGACAGTTTTCCCTTTAATTAATATACATATCTTCTATTTCTAATCCCATTCAACAGACCACCCCTTCCCTCATCCAATTATTGCCTCCAGCAACCATTCCAACCATAGCAAGCGACTAATGCCGGAGGTCACTAGGGAATAGTCAGAAAGTGTTAATGGGCTAAATTTGTATATCAGAGGAAAAGGTTTTGGAGCATTAAACATGTATAAGTCATTCAAGTTCTATACTTCTATATTTATATTCATACCTCATACAGTATGGAGTCAGCACTTTTGGTTTCACTGGAAGGCCAGATGTAAAAAAAAGTAAAAAACGGATGTATCCTTGGGTCTTCGGTATCAGAATTTCTCACCACGATATCAAATTTTCAAAAATCACATGCTACTCCGTATTAATGAAATCGTAATGTGAAAACCATGATAGAATGCAATGAGCTTGGATATGGTGCCGCTATACCAACAGGATAAATAGACACACGTCACCATGCACACAAGATGCTAATTTTTTCAATAAAAATGTTACTACGATTTTTTAAATTACATGGTGTTCATGATAGAAGTTGTTCAACAGTTCAAAACTTGTTACAAAGATTTTATACAACGAAGATCTGGCCAACATTCAATAGGCTCTCATGAGGCACATTAAAAATGACACTATTCTCCCTACATATCTTCCTGAGAAATGCATATATATAATTGATTGCGATTTTCTTAAAGAACCTAGATTCTCTGTTGGCCCTAATGACCGTATTCCCGAGAATGTGGACCACCCCAGCATCTCTACAGTTAGTCAAGAACTCCATCTCATCCATCTCCCCCATCTGACTGCTCTTCTGCCCGCCAGACGACGAGGTTATTGTGTGGTAGCTCCCAGCATGGTGTATTATGGTGTCCAAAGATGACACGGTCGTGATGTCCGTGTTGCTGCTGTTATTGCTTTTTAGCAACAGGAAATCCGCGGACCGCTTTGTCTGCTGTCCACCACACAAACTGTATTCGTCCGAATCTGAGCAGCCCTCCATCATTGACTCAAGCCGGACAAACACAAAAAGGTTGTCAAACAGCTTCTTCTCGAACTCATCATCTTTCTTGTGAAGGTCTTTGTACCCATACCTTGCGACACAACGGAACATGTGGAAGCTCTTGGGCCCTATCCGCTTCACGAGGAATCTCTCGTCTTCCGGGACCATGTAGACCGGGAGGTACTTCACGCAAACGAACACCACCACCGAATGGATGGCCGGTAGGTTCGTGATGAAGTGTGAGAAGATGTGGGGCACCCCACTGGCTAGCTCGGTGTAAACAAGCCCTATCCCGGGGACGCGGACTAGGCCCAAGCTGGGGCCCAGCCCAAGAATCCAGGCCATCGATACCTTGCTGTGCATCTCGAACTCGTACCGCTTCACCGTGCCGTAATGCCAAACGTACATGATGACAAGAAAGGCAGCAGCAATCACAAGTGGGACCCAACCGCCCTGGTCAACCTTAAAGAGCACCGCAGAGAAGTAGGTGCACTCCACCACAAGAGAGAAGCAGGTGAAAATGAGGACCAGAAGCCAGTGGCAGTGCCAGACCAGAAGCATTATCAAAATCATCAGCAGTGTGGTCACCAGCATAACTATCACTACTGCTGTCCCTGGTAATGGAAAGACCTCAACAAATTATGGTCAAATATTACTATTGCAAATAAGGTCAGGTGTAAAGATTCTATTTAGCACATAAGTTGGTAGGTAATCCTTTTTTAATCCGTAAATATCCCTACCTAAGCCTAGGATGTCCTATTGTCCATGTATAATTGTTTTCCCACTTGAGGTGTATTTGTCTCACATCAACTAAATACAAAATAACAAGCCAATATATAAGAAATGAAGTGTTCCTTTTAGTATTCATGTTAATATGGACCATATGGTATCACAGTCCTACCTGATACGTAGTCATGGTATGAGTCCTCTATTAAAATATATGATTATAAAAAATGGAAGGTGTATGCTCCGAATGAGGTGTTGAATCCTGAGGGTATGTAAATTTAAACAGGAAAAAAGACATGATTGAGATGAGGTGCAGAACAGCGAGGGATGTGTGCCCCTATCAAAAGAAAAAAGAATAATTAAAATTGCATGATCCAGACGAAGTGTTTGATCTCACATTGACTATATATGAAAAAACCAACATAAGGCATTGTACTGCTCTTCTTATTTTAGGAGGGCTTGGTTAATTCTATTAAGATATGAATTTTTCAGTCTCGAAACAAGGTAGATCAGCCAATTAACATATCGAAAATCAATTTCCAACATGCTTCCTGAAAAGATGACGAAAGTATAAAAGCGGTGAGATTGTTTATTACGGAGTAGATTATTATTACATAGTAAACTCACCATAGGCATTGCCAATTTGGCTTTGGTTTCTGAAACCAGCAGTGACAGCAATGCAGAGTATCATAAGGATCCAATTGATGTCAGGAATATATATTTGTCCAAGGAATTTCTTTGATGTGTGCACCACCTTGACCCTCGGGAAACAGCCTAAAGCTAGAGCCTGCTTGATTATCGAAAAAGTAGCTGATATGGTGGCTTGACTGGCAACAATAGCAGCTAAAGTAGCTATGACAAAGACGGGCCAATATATGCTATCTGCATAAATGTGGATTTCATTATAAGTGTATAACTTCTTATGCTATATGAAAATCTAAATGAAATGACAGTACAATCAGGATGAACCTGGGATAGAGAGATAGAATGCATCAGCAACATGATGTTTATGTTGCATGAGATACGCTGCTTGTCCACTGTATGCCAGAAGAAGGCAGGGGAATACAATAAGCGTGAAAGCAAGCTGTATTGCAGATACAGGAAAATGAGCAAGATCGGCAAAAAGTGCCTCTGTCCCTGTGTTAATAATGACCACCCCACAATTGTGAGATCCAGAAAAGAAGGTTTGCACAGAAAAAAAATGAAGAAAAAGAAGAAGAAAACCTGTGATGCTGAGCATGACCCCACCAAGTGATATTCGACCGACTTTTCGCCCCGTCCTCAAATAACGATATACGTATAAAGGGGAAAAGGCCTTGAGAACAGAGACATCATATTTCCAAATATTGAAAATGCCAATTCCTCCTATGATTAAAAACCAGAGCAGCACAACAGGAGCAAACATCCAACCAACCTTGTCTGTTCCGTAATGTTGCAAGCTAAACAAGCCAACTAATATAAACACCGAAACAACCACAACTGCATCTGTGGCAAGGAAGTAAGGTTAATTATACATTCTATGTAATAATACAAGGATATCCAGGCAAATGAAATTTCACTTTTGCCAAATAGAGTAATACCGCTGCTCATCTTCGGATGGTTAACCTTGATCCCACCAGAAGCTGAAAGGACTAAGTAAAAGACAGTTTGCTTAACATTTCTGGAAAAAATAGCAAATACCAAGGACAATGCAGCCCAACAGTTCTAATAATGAAATGGTTAACATTTTCCAAATATACGTTACAATGTATACCTAGATATGCAAAGATGACATCAACAGTATGTTAGAAGTTAGAACTGGTGCGCTCCACCATTAACTGTGAAAATCTTCTACTTTGAGCTAGCAATAAAAAATGTAC